AACATGCACATATATAAGATCGAAACAAAAAAAGAAATCAAATTTAATGAACTAATTATTTAATAACTTTAAACTTAATAATAACTTTAAACTTTGTTACCAGTTGCAAGTTTTGATACTCTAGACTTGTTTTTCATGGATGATGTGAGGTTATTCTTGTTGCTGGAGTTTCCTTCTTCCATAGCTTTTTTCTTCTCTAATTTTTTTTTTATCTATTTTTGGTGTGAATGAAATAGTTGTTAGAGGGGGAGTATTTATGGAGTGTGTTTGTGTTAAGGAAACACGAAATCTGGCAGCTACACTATTTGGCCGTTTCTTAAAAGGGCGGAATGGGGATTATTCTTGTGATATGTGCTCATCTTTTACATATGAGCCTAAACAATATCATGCACTTAAAAAAAACGTCTTAAGAAATAGAGAAATTGAAAGGGTCAATAATAAGGGTTTGTTCACATTAACTGAACTGAGCTGAACTAAACTGATTGGAGCTGAAATGAACTGAATATTTTATGAGAGAGAAAATTAGGAGCTGAACTGAACTGAACTGATTGGAGCTGAACTAAACTAAACTGAACTGATTGGAGCTGAACTGAACTGAACTGAATTGATTGGAGCTGAACTGACCTAAACTGAACTGAAATTAAGAAAATGTGAACAGGTCCTAAGTTATGTATTAATAAACGGAGGAATTGAAATATGTGTATTAAAAGGTTGGCTAATTATTTCTTTCATCTAAAACAATATAAATTTAATAATTACTTCGTATTATACACGGAGTATTATTGAATGAATTGAAGCTAATACGAAGTATATATTGAATGTATGAAAACCGGACTATTATTTTTCTTTAAGTGTTATAATTTCTTCCTGTTTACCTATTAAAGTAATGAGAACTCTAATAATTAAATCTTAAAAATAATTTATATTATTCTGGTTTTATTAACAAATTTTTCTTGAGATTTTATTAAAAAATTCATCCATTAATTTAACGTGCAATAGAGTGTTATCAAGGCTCTATTTCCTGTCTTGATAATACTAAACAGTAATCCATATGAGGGGATATATTCATATACGGAGTATATAGTATTATCAAGGCTCTATCTCCTGTCTTATTTTCACGAGTTTTAAATTTACCAAGTTCAATAGTGACATTAACTAATAAGAATTACCAAGTTCAATTCACAAATATAACAGGTTTTTATAAATAATACTCCGTATAATATTCAAGGCCAGGCCAATAAGTTTAGGCCATGTAAATAATAATTTTAGATATGCATCTCTTGTTATATATGAGAGATAACTAACATGTCGATGATGCCAATAAATAATAAATACTACGTATGTGAAATGCAAAAGCTAGGTTAAAACAAACGTCCAAGTTTTTAGAAAAGGATGAATTGAAGTATTTTATAAAATGTAATAGCATTGATAGTATTTAATTAATCGTATTATTCTTTCTTTAAAATATTGAGAAGATTATATTATAAACTAAAAATGAATAGGTTAATTCTAATATATTTATTTCAAGATTAAAAGCTTGATTTTATATATGATGATTATATTTTGCTGAATAAAGTAATGAGAACTCTCGTAATTTAATCTTAATATGCATTTTGCCGGTTACTAATTAGGTATAGAATGATCTAGTAGTTATGAGTTCGTTAGTGATGAATTGAAATAATTTGGATTTTCTATAAACTTTCGCATCTTAATTTGACTTGCAAGAAAAGAAACTAGAAAGTCAACTAAAAGTAAGACTATAGCTAAGAGACGTGTCATTTACGAGATCAGTATGACCTAGATTTAATTTAACGTGTGTAACGGTAAAATATGAGGCCCACATGAGGAAATAGAACCTTGATCATACTTTTTTTTTCATGAGAAAATTGTTGAACATTTATTTAAGTATATGCTAATTTAATTATAAAACCCTAGCCATCACCATATCTAGCTCCTCAATCTCTCTTCCTTTTTCACTAGGGTTCATCAAAATTAGTGTTTAATAGGAAAATAAATAGTCAAAATTCTTCGAAAATTTGATTATCTTTTACCTTTCCTCTTTTATATATCTTTTAATATTTTTGTTATTAGTTACAATTTTTTTTTTTTAAAAAAAAAAAATAAATAAATAAAAAAAAAACTGTAGTGAGTGCCACTATGGTAATTTATTTTTTTCAAGTTTGATATTTTGAGTTTAGTGTTATACTACCTCCGTTAATTATTATGTACAAGTTTTGGATATTATTTGTGAGATATAAGAAACTCCAAAGTTGCACGTACATAATAATCCCTTTGTTATTATTAAACTTTAATATTTTTTATTATGATCCTTTGTTTTTGTAAAATAAACATATTACCTTAACTCTTACAATATTTATATTCACTTCACCTTATTTTTGTTAAATTGAAATTACTTTTACTGAAATGAAGTTATTTTTGCTGAACATAAAATATTTTTAATGAATTGAAATTAATTTACTTAAGTAGTAAAATTATTTTTACTGAGCTTATATTATTTTTTACTTATTCTCTATTATAATTCTTCTTTATAGGTGTGCTGATTTTAATTTACTGAACTTAATTTATTTTTATTGAACTTTTACTGCACTGAATTTATTTTTATTGAATTAAAATTATTTTAAATTTACAAATTTGAAAGGTGAAGTGAACAGGCCCTAACGCCTTGACTTTACCTAATTAATACTCGTATAATGTATAATGTCTTATTGAAACGTTCAAAATATATCACCATTTATGTGAAGTATTGGTTATTTATTTTGAGGTGTGTTGAATCACGTGTCGTGTCAGTTTTTACCAACTCTACTACACTCCCTTTTTTTTTTTTTTTTGAATGAATCATGAATGACTTAATCGTAAAAGGGGTATTTATTATGAAGTGTGTGTGCGTTACTACGCAATAAAACGTTTTATATCATTGTATTATCTTGCAAGTGGCAACTAACGTTATATGGTCCTTTAATTTCAAAAGGGGTGCGAGGGGTTATTCTTGTGATTTAATGTCATTTTATGCATGACCCCACCCAAAACCATGCACTAAAACCAGGAAGAAGAAGGAAAAAAAAAAACATGTAGTACTTGTTTTAGTTACAAATCAAACAAAATTGAGGTTATCGCCTTATCGGAGTTATAACTTAAGAAGGTCGATAATCTATACATTGTGTATTAAGAAATGGAGGGATTGATATAAATTCAATGCTTGTGTGTGTGAATTTATTTATTTTTTTTTTTTTGAAATTTTAAATAATATAAAAATAAGACGAAATAAGTATTATAATCAAATCAATCTGTTTAAGTTTGTATATTTTGAAAGTTTGGAAACCAAATTGTTTTTATTGTATAAATGCTGTGATTTCCTTTTGATTTGCACATTAAGGTAATGAGATCTCTTGTAATTAAATCTTAAATTTCGAACTCATTTATATCCTATTCCGTAGTTATTAATCAAATGAAAATATACTACTTTTTGATGATTTTGTTATTAACAATTTAATGCTTAGCTTCTTGATATTTTATAAAAATTCCTCAATTAATCCGACATGCAAGACATCGAGTTAAGGCAATAATCTAGCTAGTAAGCTAAGCCAACCAAAAGGAAAGAGAGAATAAAAATGTTATTTTTATGATTTGTACAAGTCGATAAGTGTAATGGTAAATAATGATTTGTACATGAAGTAATTTAGCGTTATCTAGGCTCTATTTTCCAGCTCAATTCTTTCCTTCTAGGCTCTAGTCTAGGTTTTTATCCTTCTAATATCTTGATTTATTTTCGTTTGTAGGATAAAGTAATGAGGATTCTCGTTATTTAATCCTAAAATTCATATTCGTTACTCATTCGTATTTCAATTACGATTAGGTAAACGATATTATAGCAATTATGTATTCGGTATTACTGTATTAGTTAATCAATATCACTTGAAATTTTTAAAGTTCCACATTCTAATTTGACTTGCGAGAGAATCTATGGAAACTAAAAAGTAAAACGAAAGAAAGAAAATAGAATAGTATCGTTAGTGTGATCAGTAAATCAGTATGGCTTAGTGTGTGCAACAGCAAAAAAAAATGAGCCCCACGTGAGAAAATAGAGCTATAACACGCTATATTCTTCCACGTGAGGAAAATGAACATTGATTACTCTATATGTATAGATTAGGCATTTGATTTTTCTTTCAAAATATGTTGAAAATAATATAACTATGAATCAATTTGTTTATACTCTTGTGTTTTCACAAATTGAAAGTCTAATTTTTCTTTCTAATATTATGAATCTTGGTGCCAAGTGTTCAATACAAATATCATATTCATTTCATTCCTATTATCTACTCATTTGAGCTATTGGCTTCAATTAAATCTATGCAATGATCCATTTCTAATGTCTATTACCAAAATTCAATGATACACCTAATATATTAATGCTTAATAATTTAGCAATTAGTTCAAGCTATCCCTTTTGATTAGGTAGATTTGCAAAAGTTTCCAACATGTTACTACTAAGGGTCAGTTCTCATACGTTGAAACTCAGTTCAGTTCATCTCAGTTCAGTTCAGCTCCTAATTTCCTTCTCTTATAAAATATTCATTTCAGTTCAATTCAGTTCAGCTGGGTTCAGTCAATGAGAACAAACCCTAAGTTTAATTAAACCTGGGAGAAAAATTAACCGTAACTAGTAAGATCCTTGGTGCATATTTTCAAACACCAAATAGTTCAAAATTTTCATGCAACTGTTACATTATGATGGTTATCTTTCAAGGTAAAGCTTATACATAGCGCATAAAAAAATCGATAGGATCATAGTCATCATACAAATTACAAACTACTCGAAAATTTTCGAAAAAAAAATACTCCGTATAAAAAGAAATTTTCATGTACCAGAATATGAGTCCCACATCAAAGGGCCAATGAGACAATAAGATTATTGTGTAGTGGAAGTTTATGTTAAAGCTTAGACTCTGTCTAAAAACCAGGAAACAAACTCATGATAGTTGTGACTTGTGAAGATAATCTTAAACTGTTAAACTGTTAGAGCAATGCCTGTACATGAGATAGAGTTTACACCGATCACCACCAATTTACACCTATCCGAAAACCGGTAAGGCTGAGAGTTACATTGAACAAAATTCACTCAGCCTCCTATGTGCAACGCTAATTCTGTATAATATCCACCATAATAACTCATCTTTATCACTGTCATTAAATAAAGCTATGCTTTTTATGACGCTAAGATAGTAGGGGAAAGAAAGATATCTTATTTACAGAAGTTCTGGGGATAACAAAGTTTAAAGCCTACTTTTCGGTTGAAGAAGTCTCAGTTGCTTGTTAGCAGTTTTGGGACTGTGAGTAAGCCTGTGTTTCCTTTTGAGAAATCTCAGTGGTTTGTTATCAGTTTCTGAGCTGTTATTCATCAAGCTTTCGCTCTTTATTTTCGCATCTCCATTACACACGACTCCTTCAGATGATGCTTTGGCCACAGCTTTATCATAGGTTGCAATGTTGGTCACGATGGCATACACTGTAATGTCGTATTTTGGGGATAAGTTTGCCTTTCTCTGAATAACCTCGTACTGCCCACAGCGAGAATCTTGCGCAGCTGCCTCTCTTAAATTTTGATATATTGCTTCCTTGTCATATTGGGGACATTTTCTTGAAACCTGCATATACCCCATTTCATACATCAAAAGATTTAGAAAAAATAAGTAGATAAACCGCATAAAATAACACTGCAGCACATTGATCACTTCTAGTGAGTAGAGGTGGCAAAAAAGTCGTTTAGATCAGGGCACATTCAAGTGATAAGTATTTCAGTTTGGATTCGAGTGGACCAATAGGATCATAACTCATTGCAGTAATTCAATTTACTGTGAAGTATTACATATTTATCAATTTTAGCCATTTTACTTTCCAAGTCAGGTTAAACCTATCAATTGCAGTTTGAGTTAACATCAGCTCATCTTGTTATGGTTATAGTTTTCCAGTTTGTAAACTAAGGCCCTCTTTCTGTGGCTAATGTATTCCCCTCAAAAAAAAAATCATATTCAAGACTTACTTTGAAATTGACGGGGATTTTAATCTGTGCATAGAGACAACGGCAGGCATCAATGAAGTTGATTTTCAATACCACTTCAAATGGTTCCACAATTCTCACAAACCTCCTGTTTTGAGAATAAAAGGCAGCATACCAAACAAAACAACAATTAAGATTAGAAGTAATCACTTGATAACCAGCCAGCTTTACTCAAACAATCCAGCCAGACTTATTTAAAACGGTGATATAAGAAGATAATTATAATAAGTCGTGGAAATTTCTATGGCAAATTGGCAGTCACTGAACACCACAACATAATAATAAAATATGTAAATCATTTGTTTAGCACTGAAACATTATCAGAGACTCACTACACTTTGACAAATATACTCATACCTTTTGAGCACAAATGGCTGCTTGTCTAACACAGCAGCTTTCAGATCTTGTCTGTCAACAAAGGAGACCTACGATGCAAAAGCCAAACATGTTAGTCCAGCAGTAAAATTAGACAGCCTGATGTTCTGCTAAGAATGTCATCAAGGCAGCGCATAACAGAGGATAACTGATCCCATTATCAACTTCCCAACAAAGAAAACCAGAAATACAACTCCAGTTTGTTAGGCAGAAAAAATAATGACAAAAAACTTGTGTACTTTGTAATGAAGATGTCAGGCCGATGTCTGTAGTGCTAATCCAATGTCCATCTCTATATATTGGAAATTGATGAAGGAAAATACTTGTTTTGAGGATGGTGTTACATTACTACGGACATTGGCATGGCAGCTTAAAATTTAGTAATTTTCAGTACAAAATTATGCGTATTATATACTTCATTACTAATACTGCCTAACAACCGGTCATCGAAATTTCAATCATGCTAAAAGTTTGTGCGTAACACCATTCAAACCCCCCCCCCCCCTCTTCCATTATAACTCAAACTTTATAGATCTATATCATTCTCCTGAGATCATCAAATCACTCTTTGCGGTAGTCCTAGAGCTGTTTTAAACATCAGCCTACTATTTCAACTTTACAAATCTATTTTGTGTGCAAACTTTGTAGTTTAACACCACTTCTTATGCTTTTCTACATTGCACATGTTAGTAATCTAGCTTTTGTAATTTAACACCACTACTTTTGATCTTTTCCATGTACTACATTTTGGGTAAGCACAAGAGAAGTACTGGACAGTGGACAGAACCTACATTAGGAACAAAACTTATATCTTTGTTAGACCACTAGATCAATATCCAAGTGACTTGCAACAGTTAAAGCAACAGCAAAACAATAGACAGTAATCTACCACTATTAATTTAAATTTAAATGCCATTCGCCATAGCTTTAAACAGAAACGGAACAGGAAAAAAAAAAAAAAGCCTCTTAGCTTATTGAACAACTCCAACAGTTGACTTAATGTAAAACTTTAGATCAATTACAGAAGGAACTTTGATAAAAGAGATTTCAGAACAGTTACCTCAACACTTTTAACAAATGGCAGTGGAGCTCTGTTTCCATGTACACTTTCAACCTTAAGGTTCCAGTTCATGTATCTTTTATCTACAGACACACAAACGATAAGAAGATACAATAAAAACAGCATTGTTGCTCCAAATGGACAGAAATGGCTATCAAAGAAAAATATTACACATTGAATATCATCATCAAGACAACAATTAACAAAAATTACTTATTTTAATTTATTCTAAAACAAAGTTACAAGCAACCAATCCCTAATAACTATGCTAACAAGTACCTTATAAACATGAATTAAAGAAAGAAGCAACAAAAGTCATGTCAAAAGCAAGTAGTATAGCTGACACTTCCTTTGAAGCTATAAACTACCTCCTTACATGAGATAAGACAATTAGAAATACATCAGAAATTTACTTGTGAAAAACGAACAGTAAAGAGTTATTTGATTTTCTAATTTTAAAATGAGAGTTACAAAGTTTAATACATTCTTACACTAAATAATTTTTTTTGGATGATATAATTACATATTGTAATATTATACTTCCTCCGTTCTTTGTTAATCGCAACATTTGAAATTTTACACAATTCACAAACGCTTCTTTGATCATTTTTTGTGATTTATACGTTGGGGAAAAAAAAGTCGTGTGGGATATGTTATAGTATGTGCGTTGGCAATCTTGAAAATGAAATCTCCGACGTTATGATTGAAAAAGAATGGAGAAAATATGTCCATAGCTCATAACTCAGCATTTAGTAGCAACATCAAATGAACATGGAAAATTCACAGGTTATATGAAATAAAAAATAAATAAATAAATTCACAGAAATAGTAATCATTTTTTAAGATACCTGAGCTAACAGCTTGACTAAGAAAAATCTGGAAAAGGTCTATCCTAATAAATGGAGGAATGTGAAGAATAAGACTTTCCATGACACCAGCAATCACCTGAGATCAGTATAAGTAAATTGTTTCAGATTATAAATTAGCTGGAACAGAAGCTACTGAGGGCCAAACCAGAGCAACATGAACAAAACACATACCTTGTCTACAAGCCCATGGATCACAAGGCTTGCTTTCTTATCTTTAGGAGTTTTCTGCAAAAATAAAAAATATATATAAAAAATAAATAAATAATACAAACATGATATGTATAACTAACATCTCTGCAAAGAGTTTGCATGATGAAGGAAATGGGCAATGACACACACACAATGATTAACAGGAATTCATTAACTCTTGGCAAAAATGAAAGCACGAAGTCGTTCACCCATTTTCTATTCAAAAAAAAAAAAAAAAAAAAAAAAGTCATTCACCCATTTTTTCACTTATTCCTTTCAAAGGCAGGGGGCATTAGGATCAGATATGTACCTGAAGATTCACAATAACAATCTTCCCCCCTCCACGAAGACACTTGAGAGGCAGGTTGCAAGCAGGTTTAATCTGCAAACTGCATCAAGAAGTGACAATGATGGCAAATGACTTGTTGATAAAATAGACTAAAAAACAATCACCAAATAAGCTATAAGAATATGCAGGCAAGATGGCTTCAACATTTACCATAAATAGCTTATGTAGTTGAAACCCTTTGGCCTAAGTTCACACTGTCCTTATGCCACTGTATCTCAACTACTTAGCAGCAAAAGGAAAGTTGGGAATAAGAGAGAAAGGCAACAAATATAACTTGAGACACCTCATTTTCCCATATGCGAACAGAAAAGCTCAATAATTTACTTTAGCCTGTATTTCAGATACCTTGGGTTGTTGTCTTGTTGACACTAATAAAGAGCCCCACTAAGTTGTCTTTCATTCATTAATGAAACGTGCTAATAAATCAACAAATACAAGTAAGAAAATGAACAGAAACTGACAAGAGTAGATAATTACCTTGTCCCTAAACACAAAATGAGATCAGCCATTTTACAGTGCTTTTCAGCTGCATCCATCTCCTTTCGGGGTAATGCATCCTGAAAGGTAGATTGATGAGTAAAAAGGTCTAGTACTTTCAGAAGAAACATCTACAAAAAACTGTGTTCTATACACTTATGCTCATGGATCATTGTCCATGATATTATGATGACCCTTCCAACCATAGTATTGTTGCAATTGCAATGTTCCAACATGATAGTAGCATATAGCTCTATAAATAATTATTTTAAAATTGGAGTTCTAGGTTTTACAGCTGAAACCTATCAGAAAAGAAAATGGCATCAGAAGAGGCATGCTACCTCCCAGTCAAGAACAGTATCCCTTAATCTTGCACCACAAGATGTATCAGAACAACGCCGGGGTGTTTCCTTCAATCCGATTGTTTCAATCTCAAAATCTCGTACATATCTTCCAATTTACATTCAACAGAGAGATTGTATCAATAAAGATCAGCCAATAAGAAATGAAAGGCAAAAAATGCACCTCTCAACTACCAACTGACACTAAATGTAAAGTAACATTATAGAAAAAGAAAATACATAGAAAGGAACCTCAAAAAAAAAAATAATAAGATCAAGTATCAAGCCTTACTCGACTCCACAAGATGAGCAAACTTCCAGAAAGGAGTCCCCATGCAACTCTGCAAGTTTTTCCCGTGGTATCCCCGACCGAATATGAAGACCATCAACATTCTAGCATTTCAAAACGAGATCACTTAGCATAATGATTGATACAAGAAAATTAATCATGTGCAAATAATTATTCTGCAGTATTTTTCAGGCAAATAATAAAAAATAAAAAAATTGAAAAAGAAGTCATATTGACCAAGTATAGAGCTATAGATGCAATGCATTTGCCTATCCATGAGTATTACACAATCAGTATAATGTCTCTGATAATTAAGAAGGATTCTAGAGCTGCTGGACAACCTCATGAAGTGGAAATGTAGTACTACAGAGTACAGTCGTACAGACAATTACTTCTCTATAATAGTTAGTCTCCAGCAGAGTCTTTATATCTTCAGATGAAAGTATAAGGATCCGGCAAAGGGTCCAGCCCAAGATCGACGATATCTTTACTGTTTATTACTCTCTTTCCTCAAAAAATACATATCTTGTGAAAATTTCGCAAATTATGTGACAAATATAGATTTAATAGACCTACTAACCAATTTTGTTACCAACTACTACTTCATTTGGTAAGAATCTCTTTCTGAAACTAGTTTGTCAAGCCTACAGCTTGTCGACAGTACCCTTAAACCTTAATAGTAACTTCACAAGGTGTATGGTAGGAGGGATAAGGGTATAGGGATAGGGATAAGAAAGAAGGAATCGGTGACGTTTAGTGTTTGTTTTGGTGGATAGGGAATAGAGGAAGGGTAGGGATAAAAAAAAAAAATCTTTATCCCTCAAAATCTATACCTAGGGGGGTGGTATAAGAGGATTTTGATCTTAAAAGACCATTATACCATTAGTGAAAAGGGAAGGTAAAAGAGAGAAGTGAAGGGTTAGTGAGGGTATTTTAGTATATTGCCCTTTATTCTAATCTTATTCTCAATTCTTACTAAACAAGGACACACTTAAATTTATCCTTATCCTTATCCCACCCTCTTATCCTTCCTACCCCTATCCCTTTAACCAAACTCCCTGTTAAGGAAAAACTACAATTTGGCACCAATTCTTTACTACACTATAACTGAGGTAATAAACAGTCCTTCTGAAGACAAGTATGCTGACTGATGCCCAAGCAAAATATTTGTAAGTATTGTAACCTACATGCCACCTATTACAAAGCATAGGAAAGGTTTACTCTATCCAGCAAGAACCAATAATAAACAATCTCACGCTTTCATTGTACCAAATCTTCCATTAGTTCTACACATATAAAATCTTGGAGAGAGAACAAACCTGACTAATAACGAATTTGAGGATACTGGCTTTTTCTAGCTCAACCAGAGCCATATGGGTTATACTAGGCATTGCTCGATTGAAAGGCAAAGCTGCTTTAGGTAATGCCTTGCCGTCACGCTGCCACCAGAAGAAAGCATAATAAACATCACTCTGAAGGATTCATAAGCAATGATAAATATGCAGATTACATGGCAAGTCTACATAACAGAATATCAATCTTGTAAAAGATATATAATCTAGCAACATGCCCAAAACTAATTGACTACATGAACCAATAAATCAATTGGGAATTGGGAGGGCAAGAACCAAAATGTGTTTCCAAATAACACTTTGTAAGGGTTCATGACAAATGATGAGCACTTTGAATTTCTAACTTAAGTCTTCAACAGATAGACATAATGGCAAGACAAGTGAATGCGTACATTTCAATTGACAGAGCCAGAAACTACAAATTCGATTATAACCATCACTTTAGAAAACCAAAAAACTAAGTTCATTTTAAGGGATTTTTTCCAGCAAAATATCAGGGCAATATTACAATATAGAGTCGCACTAGTATATAATTGATAAAATTGATCCTAATAATCCTTAAAGAGACTTCAATAACAAAGTTGGAGCGTGATATAAAAATGAAGGATTGAAATTATCATATACAGATGAGTTGAGGGGAAAAAATCTGGGCTCTTCTTTATGCTATTGAATTCATAGCCCGGCCCTGCTCCCTAGAGTTCTGCAAACCAAAAGCTTATTACAGCCGCAGGTTTAGATGTGCATATCAACATCAAAAGTGATGCTTCAATCACAAAGTCTCAAGCTCCCAAACATTGAAAGAGGAAAAAAGAAAGATCTACTCTACAATCTGCATGAGAAATCCACTCAAAACAACCATGACACAGCTTGTAAAAAGTCTTCTTACAGAATCTTCCGAATAAATTGTCATAAAGCAGAAAAAACAGCTAACAAAATGATTTATATAAAATCTGTTTTAGATTATCATTAAGACACATACTTCCTAATATAACTTCCTTAACTTTATGAACCACTAAATGACTAAGCAAAAGAAGAATAAGAATAACGTCATAGAAACCACTAACTAAGCATAAGATAATAATAATCATCAATCCAGCTAGATTCACCAAAAAGAAATTGCTACTCCATAGCTTTTACACTTTTTTTTTCTTCAGGTTTATGCCACTGCAATCAACAAACAGAAATGACACAAACGAATTACATTACCTGAAGTGTCCAGATTCCCTTGGGACCTCGAAAATCAGGAATTCCACAAGAAGTAGATATACCAGCACCAGTAAATACAACCATATGCTTACTCTGCAAGAACACCAATGAGGCTTAGAAAATTTAACGAAACATAGAAAGAATCATCAAAGATATATGATATACTAGAAGATTTGAAGCTCAGACCTTTCGAATCATATTCGCAAGTTGTCCTACCTGCCAGAACCATAGAGCAGAATTATTAAAGTGAGTGTTGCATATTACAAGAGATACATATACTTGCAAAAGATAATTTTGGAAGCATAAGAAACAGTTGTTCATGTCAGGCTAATGTAAGCCTAAAAGATATTCGTGTCTGAAAGTGCATGCTATTTGTGGTGACATACCATTGCAGGCAATAATCCTAAAGTATTAACAATCTGCTTTCATGATGAAAACAAGATTTGCTCACAAATGCTCCAAAGGCGAATTTTCATTCACCAAAAACAACATCCTGCCTTCACTATTATTTACATGACAATGCTAACTATGACGATATGCAAACAAACTCTTTTTCAGTAAAACATAAACATGCTATTATATCCTTACACAATTTTACCTCCATTCAAGAATCAAATTCATATACATACCACAACGACGGACACAAAATAGATCATTCTTGATTCATCCAAAGTAGTCGAACCACAAGAATGCGCACAATCAAACCTCAATCACACTTGATTAAACAAATTAACCATCATTATCATCTTACAAACTCCAACAATGCAGGTTATGAAGCTAATGAATTTCATTTCGTTTCATTTAAACAGAACTAATCTCAAAAACCCAAATGACCAAATCATCAAAATTCATTATATCACATAAATTCCGCACAATCAAAGTCCATAAACCTAATAGCATTTAATGGGCACTAAAAAAACAGATCAAAGTCATAAACTTTACAAGTAAACAACCAAATAAATGCATAAATCAAACAAATAAGAAGGGTATAAATCATAGAACCCTAAGTTATCAAAAACCCTTACTTTCTCTTGCAAAATGCGAGGTGATTCGAAAAATTCAGCCATCCCAACTTTGCCCACATCTTCAATGTACGAAAGCTTCTCAGCATACCCCAAAGACATAGTTGTAAAACACCCCCTTTTGTCTCCTGTACTTTCTCTCACTAAATCTCTCTCTTTCTCTCTCTAAAATTATCTGCAGATCAAGGGTTTAAAGAGAAGACTATTTGATCAGACAATTAGCAGAAGAGTTTTTTTCTGAGGGCCTGTTTGGCAAATTGTGTTGTAAGGGGAAATCCAAGAGCCAAAATTAGCAAGAAATCATACTAGTATTTACTAATGCTTTGTTTGGTTCATTGTTAATTTGTTAGTAAAGGAAAAGAATGAGATTTTATTTTGAATGTTTGATGGTAAAGACTAATATTAATCCGGTCCACATTAATATAACTGTGGACCGAGTATCACATGACTATTACAGATTTTTTTTGGGAAGCTTCCTTTTAATTTCCTCTCTCCTCCTGACATATTATTTTCTCCCTCTTCTTTCTTTTTTTTCTCTCTCCTCCTTTGATGTTCTTCTCTGTACACTTCAACAATGGTGAAGGCGAGAGAAGAAAGTTCATTAAAATCAACAATGGTGAAGGCGAGACATGAACCTTTATCATCAAATTGGAGTAAACGAAGAGGATTACGATCATCAGTTGGGCGGCCTTGCAAAGGTATTTAATTAGGTTTTTGATTAATGAGTTCAATTTTTTGTGTAAATCGTCTGATTCTGTTTAATTTAACTTTAGATTTTCAATTTTAGTGTTTAAATTTCATTTTTAAGAGGTATTTTAGTATTTGATTTGATTTTTAGGGTTTAGTTTTTACAATAGCTTAATTCTACTGGTTTTTTTATTAGTTTTGGTCCTCTCTCCCGAGTTGTTCGTAGTTTTAGTGTATTGATTTTAGTCGAAAAGCTTTAGAAATTGCAGAATGTGTGCTTATGCGTGCAATATAAGAAAACAATTACTGGACCAAATATTAATATGATTGTAAGATATCAATTGTGATTATATCAATATAAATATGATTATAAGATATTAATTGTGATTATATCAATATAGAAGTGACTATATCAATATAAATATGATTATAAGATATCAATTGTGATTATATCACATCTTTCATTAATAATAATGTTCCTCATATTTATTTTGTATGTTTCATTTACAAAACCAAATCACGATATTTGAGAAACTACTGAACCAAATCATGATATCGGAGAAAAAATTCGAGCTCTGATGATGAATTGTTAATGGTGTCGATGCTGAAGAAGATACATGGAAAAGAGATCAACATTTTTTCTTTTGTTTGGGGTTTTATGGGTTTAAGGGTTAGTGGGCTGGGGTGGAGATTTTTTAGTGTCTTCTATTTGGTGGTTTGGGCACGTGAGACTTTGGGTCCACAATAAGTTTATTGTGGACCGGGTCCACCCAAGATGTATTAATGTTTGATTAATGAAAAGTAATGAAGGGATGAAGAAGGAAATATGGATATGCTTAGGGATGTACAGAGTGTGGTTTAGGTTGCACCAAATCGCAAACCAAACCGCAGTTTATGGTTCGGTGCGGTTTAGAAAATTGACCAAACCGCGGTTTGCGGTTTGGTGCGGTTTCCAAAAATATTTAAACCAAACTGCACTTTATTGCGATTTACGGTTTTTATACTATATTTTTACACAAGTACTTAATGCAGTACATGCGGGATTTACTTAAATATATTAAAGACAATATTACTCTTTTTATTATTTCTAGTATCCCACACTAATTTCATTCTTAAATTACCAAACTCATTTCCTCCATTTTTCGATGTACTTTATGGTTTGAATCAAAGAAGGAACGCTTATACTTGATGAAAGAAAGCTTCTGCCATTTTTCTTCTACACCACCTATCCCGCATTGATCCAACTGTTATCAATCCCTCTTGATAATATAACAATAATAATTTAAGCCCTAAAGAAATCTAGCACCCTTTACCCCCTAAAGTTATTTCTAATACCCTTCATCAACCTTTGACCCCCAGAAATTCATTACGGTAACCCTTCATCAACCCCGTGGAAATTAATTCTGGTACCCTTCATCAGCCCTCGGAAATTTATTCTGGTACCTTTTATCACCCCCCGCAAATATATTCCGGTACCCAATATTATCACCCGGAAAGTTTTGTAATGCTCATCAGCTAATGCCGCTGATGTTGAATACAGCAAAAAATTTCTGGAAATTTATACCAAGAATTAATCTTTAGCCTGAATAGTAGTTTCAGTAGGTGTGCATGCTGAAAATTTATTTGTTCGATTGTATTTGCAGATTGAATTGTAAGGGTGATTATATATATTTTTTGTTGAAATGTTAAGGGTTATTAGTTGATTACATAATTAGGAGTGAAAATGATTTTGATTAAAACAGGGTAAAATTGGAATATAAGTTTTAAATATTTTAAAAATTATTCTGCATTTGGGTAAATTGTTATCTGCATTTAGTACCACCCTATTTTTTAATTTGCGGGATTTTTTGTTGCCTGCATTTGGTTTGTGGTTTGGTGCGGTCTAAACCGCACTCTGTATAGCCCTAATAAAAATATATGAGCTAATCTTTGACTATTAGTTTATAAATGGTTTAAAAAAAAGTTTAATATTTAAATTATAAACTAATAATTATAAAATAAAATAAAAGTTATGTTTGTAAAAGAAAATTTATAATTTTAATTAAATATGGTTAAACCGCAAACCGCACCACACCAAACCGTATTTTGTGGTGTGGTTTGGTGCGTTTTTTTAAAGTGCGGTTTGGTGTGGTTTGAAAAAATTACAAATTGCACTTTTACGGTTTGGTGCGGTTTAGGATTCAAACCGCACCAAACCGCACCGCGAACACCCATGTTAATATGCTTTTATTTTCTCTTTTTAGTCGAATTCAATGGTCACTTATTTGTTTTGCTAACCGTCTTCTCTTTTTTTTTTACCATGTACCAGAAAAATATTCACAGTATCAACATTACTTAAGAACTATGTCAAGCTGCTGGTACAACAAATAAACCACCAGCAAAAACATACTACTCCAAGGTCTCCAGCATCAGCATTAAGCTAGTGACAAACTCCTCCAATGCTGCAAGATTAGACCCCACTGCTGCAAGCGCATGATCATAAAATTCTAGCAAACCTTCCCATGCATCAGCAGTGGATGGAATCACCCAAGTCTGAAAAACAAAATTACCATAATTCTATTAACTATTACTAAAACAGAAGTTGTTGACATCATCATTGCCCACGTGTCGCTTTCTCTATAAAAAATTTCCCATCTAAATGCAATGATGAAGTCAACTATCTTTTTTTTTTCCTCCCTTTTTTTTTTGGAAAAGCTACCATATATAACATTTTTGAAATTTAAATATTGGAATCTCCTACATTACAACTAAAATTTATCAATTTATCGTATGAAATTGAAACAATTTTAAATAACACACTAATAAATGACCTCCTACATTGAATTATGAATTATACATCGTTGAATCGATACCATATCATAATTTTGACTAAAATAAAAAATTATAAATTACAAAATATACGTCATTCTTATTTATATTCAGGTATAATAGCGATTTATTTTTAAAATGTACAAATTAAATATAGGCTTTATATAAATCGTGCATCGCACGGGTTCTAACCTAATAATATTAATATCTAGAAGTATAATCATGCAAGCGTAAATTAGATTCGTGATTCAAGAATTAATGCTTCAATGATTTAAGTCTAACATCATAGAATACAATAAAGACTAAGCTAACTATGATCTACCTCCGTTAAAAAAAAAAAAAAAAAAAAAAAAAAAACCAACTATTTACAAAGAATTCACGATTATATCTAACAATGGAGTATATCTTCCATAAACAAAAATAAATTAAAAAAAAAAAAACAAGGAGGGTATATCTGCCTGATCAAACCTTTACGTTAATTAATAAGATAATTTACTACGTTATTATTCTAAATTAAACTTTAGTTTCGAGCCAGGATGACCTGGGGGTTTTGGCTTAATTTCAACATTTCTACTTTTTAACAGATAATATAATTGTTATGTTGAAATTATTGAATTAAACTCCAACAAAATGTACATTATATGAATTTATCGCCTTAAAAAAATCGTGCACGCAAGGCGTGCACTTCCAAACTTGTTTTATATAAGTTGCACATAACATTTAACGGGGGTAGTATAATTATTTATAAATTAACAAATTACGTGAAATTACATATATATTATATTGCACATTATTGACATATATAATATTGGTATTGATAACTCAGTTGGTTTATGAAGAACCGAAAAACACTGAAAAACAAGATATCTCAACTGATTTTTTAGTTGCATACTAATATTCAGACATGATTAGATTTGAATATATGATTTTATTTTCTCTTTCTTGTCGAATTCCTGTAATTTTGGGAGGAAAGGAAAGTCGAAAATTTGTAAAGTAACTTTTTTTTTACTTCCCTTCATTTTCTTTAAATTATCATGTCATTCATCAAACCAAACATGGAAACTTAATAAAACCTTTTACTTTCTATTATCTTTTAGTCAAATCTCTTCGACCAAAAAGGACTTAAGGGCTTGTTTGGTTGACAAAATAAAATGGGATGAAAATTCATGGAAATTTATAATTATGGTAGTTGTTTGATTAATATAAATAAGCAAAAACGGAAAAAGTTCGATTTCATGAGAATTTCTACTTCTCACAAAATATAAAAAGTAAATAACCTAGGCCTCATTGGTCAATCAAAATTAATGAAAATTTCAACTTTCCTTTGTCATAACCAAATAATTTAAAGGAATTCAAAAAAAAAATAATAAAAAAATAAATAATTGGGAAATAACTTCCCATGCAATACAACTTCATACAGAAATTTACAATTTTAATGAAGGTTCAAACCAAATTACATAAGAGTCCTTATTTATTCCTCTTTTTTTCTTCAAAAAATACAAGTTGGTCTTTTTATCAACATAGAAACCATATCAAAGGGATACGTACTCTTAACATTATCTTCATTGTAGAAGGGTTAAAATCGTCTATTGATGGATATTGCTCCAGGTATCCTCTACCATTTTTCAATATCATTATTTTTCAATATCTTATCATTTTTTGACATTATCTTCAAAATTCAAGCTTATATGCAACTTTTAATGTAGGATTTGGTCACCCACTTACCCCTACCCTTAAGGGTTGACCATGCCCTTATGTTCACCCATAGTCATAAGACCATTCTCAGCAGTGAGGAAAAAAAAGGGGACTTGTTAAACATCGCCCGCGTTTTTCTACATAAAGCCCACATTTTTTAAAAATTTTGACATTATTGCCCTTGTTTTAATTTTTACCGAAAATGAAAATTTTCACTCACCAAAAATGTGGAGCAGGACTGGATCGCCGAGTGAAACCGAAGAGCCCTCAACGTCGGCTAGATGCACCGGAGAGACGCCGTTGACGCCGGAAAAGGAGGTACGAAGCCATCTAAAACCACGAATTGGCGGCTGGCGTCCTGCCGGGACGCCGTGACCGTAGTGGTGGCGCCTAGCCAGGACGCTGCCTCCGTAGGTATGGCGCCTGGCCAGGACGCCGCCACCGTGGCCGTGGCGTCTGGCCAAGACGCCGCCACCATGAAAGCGGCGTCCTGGCCAGGCGCCATCGCCACGGTGGCGGCGTCCTGGCTAGGCGCCACTGCATTTTTTTTTTTTTTTTAATTTAATTTAAAATTTGTTTATTTTTTTTTTTTTTTTGTGTTACAATTTTTTTTCGTTTTTTTTTTGGTTTTTTTTTGTTTTGTTTTTAATTGTTTTAAAATGTAATGTAAAATTTTGTGTTTGATTTTTGTGTTTTTGATCGCTATGTTTTTTATGTTTATGTTTTTTTTTTGTTTTTATTTTTTTGGTTTTTTTTTTTTTATTTAATCTAAAGTTTTGTTTATGTTTTTTATTTTTGTGTTTTGTTTTTTTTTTTTTTTTTGAATACTTTTTGTTTATGTTTTTTATTTCTTTGTTTGTTGTTTATATTTTATTATTGTTTTTGCTTTTGTGCTAATGTTGTGTCAAATGTATTAATTTAATCTAATCTTATGTGATTATATTTATATGTTATTGTTGCAGGATTATGGTGGAGACGGAAATGATTATAGTGGGATTTTTGTACACGATGGTCTGTTCGAAGATGCTCAACAAGCGGTTGATTGGGCGAAACATGTTGCAATTAGATCAGGTTTTTGTTTAGTAGTAGCAACTCATAAATCTCAACGGGATGGTAGAATGGATCGCATTTTGAGATGCGACCGTTATCGCAAAAGGGAGGAACGAGATTTCAGTCAAGCGATTCGGTTTGATACAAAGCGGAAAGGTTGTGGGTGTCAGTTCAGAGTAAAGGTTCGACAACAGCAAAGGGGTGACGGTTGGGAAGTGAAGAGTTACGGTAAATGGGGGTATCACAACCATGAGATGATCGCATATGAAGTGGGTCATCGACAGTTAAGTGGCCTAAGTCCTGGTGTGAAACTAATTGTAAAAGAAATGAGTGATGCTCAAGTGAAGCCTGCTAAAATATTAGCATCTGTGTTGGAGAAATTTCCTGAAGACCAGCCAAACCGAAGACACATCTACAACGTCAGACAGAAATTGAGGTTTGAACGGTCAGAGGGAAGGAACCCTATACAGCAGCTTCTACACCAGGCACAAGCACGTGGTTACCTGTACTGGTTTGAATCTGATGAAGACACATCGGAGGTGACTCATTTGTTCCTTGTGCATCCTGATTGTGCTGATATGATTTCGTCTTGGCCATCTGTGATTCTGATCGATTCAACGTACAAGACAAACAAGTATAAGTTTCCACTGGTTGAGATGGTTGGGATGACTCCAACGAACCAGAACTTTTTGATTGGTTATGCAGTTATGAAGGATGAGACGGTTGCGAGTTACCGTTGGGTGTTGGAGAAGTTGAGAAATTACATCGGCCCAAGTGTTCAGCCATCGGCCATCGTCAGCGATTGTGAGGGAGGTCTCTTTGCCCCTATAGCGGAGCTGTTTCCGGAGTCGAGCCATTTACTGTGCACATGGCACATCAACAACTGCGTGAAAGTCAAAGCCTACAACCTTTTCAACAAGAACTTAGATTCAGCAGAGAGATTGGTAAATGGTAAGTGGCGGAAGATCCTGCAAGCTACCACGGAGGCAGAGTACGACCGAGCCTTGGATAACTTCAAGGATGCATACCAATGGTGCCCGGCAATCGTAGACTATGTGATGCAGCAGTGGGTGCCTCAGAGGAAAATGTTATATAAATGCACTGCCGACATATCAATAATCTCTCTGTGACGCCCACTGCCACTGCTCAAGGGCCCGTTCCAGTTCATCAATAACAGCTCTGCCTGTTGCAGTCGTCATGTTGTCCCTCTCCTCAAAACGTCTGTGTCCCAACTGCGTCATCTTTCCCATCCACTACACATAACAAAACACATAAAATTCAATAACGACGTATTATATGAAAAAAAACACAACTACAAATGTTTTATGAGACGTACCGCATCCACGGTAGTGGGCGGTGGCACATCATCATCATCGGCGTCGTCGCCGTGGTGGACGTCTCTGATCAACCTCGGGTGCGAGTGCCGGTTGTACCACTCCATGTAGTGCTGGTCACACATGGCAGCCACCCCAGTTGGCGGCCGCTGCAGCTGCTCAATCCATATGCGGGCAACCATCGGAAACTGCTCCCACGTGCCAATCATGCTTGTCGGCCATTGGACGACGTACTCCTTCGACGACGCAGATCGGACGGCCTTACTGGGCCATGCTGGTGGAGGAGGAACAACTTGGACATATCCAAGCTGGCGAAGACAGCGCTGCGGCATGTACGCCTCTACGATCTCACGATACTGAATCAGTCCCGTGTAGAGGGTCCTGGGTACCCTATTACTAGGGTTCTGGCCGAAAGGCATCCAGTTCACCTGCACATTTTTTAAAATTAGTAAGATTCATACAATAAACACATCAAATTATAAAAGTAGAAATAATTTAAACACTTTACCTCTAATGGGGACATCCTGTCAAGCAATAACCGTATCGATCGCAGGCGGTCAATGGACTTCTTCTCGACACGCGGACTCCACGCACAGGCACGTGGCTGGCCATCCCCAATAGGAACCGGGTCGCGGTGTGGTCGAAACGCCGGGAAATACTCGTATATCCACGTCTGTAACAACGTCATACATCCAGTGATACCTGCCGCATCAGCCCGGCTCGAGAATCCTAACTGGCGATACATGTACGCTAATGTAGCCGACCCCCAAGAAAACTGGCCTACTCTGTCGGGCTCACACGCGTCAACTATGTCGCGTGGCCTGAGCTTGTTTCCGCTCTTATCCGGAAACAAGGTACACCCGAGAAGAAGAAAAACATATGCAGCCAGCTGTGTGTCCTGCGTCCTACGTGAAGTGGGGTGCAAACATCGCTGCAAAACTGCTGCGATCTTAACACCGCCGTGATCCCACACACCAAGTGCCGCTGTGTACAGCGCAGCCCTATCCACCGCCAACAGCTCCGCCAATAAATCTGCCTGATCCGCATCTGTGACAACAGATGCTCGGTTTCCCTCTACGGGAATCCCAAGGATGGCCTCGACGTCATGCAACATGATCGTCATCTCACCGAACGGAAGGTGGAAAGAGTTCGTGTCCGGCTGCCATCGCTCAACGAAAGCCGTGATCAGCGTCGAGTCAATCCTCTCATGCATGGTGGCAGGAAGGTGGCTCACTCTAGTGCCCCTCAATCGGCCGACCATCTCGCTCTCCTCCGGCCAAGCCTCAGCCCAACTACACAAGAAGTTACAAGTCCTCTCCCGGGTTTGGCATTTCAAAATGCCGCTATCCAAAGCCCGCTCTTGGTCCTCCCAAATACGGGTAGCGATGTGTCCTAGAAAGCTAGGAATCACACTCCCGTCTATAGGTCCCCCAGCCACCTCGCCCCTCACCACCCAAGAATCATTAACGGCCCTCGACCGTTTTCTGCTAACCGCAGACACAGTGGACGCAGATGATGTGCCAGATCTACTAACAAATCTACCATCTCTACCCTTACGCACGTCTACCCTACGCGTCTCATACACATCATCAAGCCTCTGACTGAATGGACCGTAATCATCATATGGTCCACTCTGATCGTCCACATCCTCATCTGCATCCTCCTCCTCCTCCTCCTCATCACCATCATCATCTTCATCATCCTCAGAATAGTGCACCCGTTCTCTACGAGCCGAGGCCGAAATACCACGGGATCTAACGTGTCTGGGCCCCGAGCTCTCCATTGAGTTGATCGTACTTCTCATAATGTCCATACTCTTCCCAGCCCCAGAACGAAAATACGATGCCTAACACAAAATAACAAAACATGTAATATGCAATATAAACATGTAATATAAACATAAAAAAAGTAATTAAAATAAATAAATAAAACAATATACATATGATGGAAAATAAATTAAAAACATTACAAAATATTAACAACCTAAAAATAAAAAAATTAATAACCTAATAAATAAATAAATAAAAAATTGGAAAAAACAAAGCAAAAAAAAAAAATTACCCAAAAAAAACAAATTGGAAAAAACAAAGTAAAAAAAAAAATTAAAAAATAAAACGGAAAAACAAAAACAAAAAAAAGCAAAAAAAAAATTTGAAAAAATAATTCAAAAAAAAAAAAAAGAAAATGAAAAAAAAAAAAAAAATTAGGGTTCCGGCGCCTGTCCCAGACGCCAGAGCCACGGTGGTGGCGCCTGGGCAGGACGCCGGTGCCACGGTGTTGGCGTCTGACGTGGACGTCGCCACCGTGGTACCGGCGCCCTGCCCAGGCGCCATCACCGTGGCAATGGCGTCTGGGACAGGCGCCGGAACCGTGGTGTCGGCGTCTGGGCCAAACGCCGCCGCCCATTCGCCGCCGTCCAGCCACCAGTCGCCGCCGGGCCGCCACCTTTTCCGGTTTTTTTTTTTTTTTCTAAATAAAAAAATTAACAAAAAAAAAAAACATACCTTTCCTCCTCCAAACCCCCTTGCTCCGGCCACCGGTGCCGCCACTTCCCTGCCTTGCCGCCTCGACATTTTGAAAAAATATTTTCGAGAGAGAAAGTGAGACTACAAAGTTAAGAGAAGATGAGAGTGTGTTTTTTACTAGAGTAGAGAGAATATAATTTTAGTTCGAGGGCAAAAGAGTCATTTCACTTTTAATTTGTGGGCTTTATGTGGAGATTTGCGGGCGATGTTTAGCAGTTCACAAAAAAAGACCTCTCAATCTCTCTCTACCCACTTTCTCACTCCTCCCATACAATTTCTCTCATCAAATGTTTTTTTCACCACAGCAATGAGGAGAAAAAAAACCTCTCATCACTTTCTCCTCCACTATTTTTTAATTTATTTTTTAATTACGTTTAAAAATAATTTAATAAAAATTTATAATTACGTTTAAAAATATTAATAATACTAACTGGAAATTTTTTTTATAAGAAATAATTATAATAATAATAATAACAAGAAGAAATCGGGAAAATATGTTAATTTCTCTAATTTATGGGTTTTTTGAAAGTATATCAAAATGCATGTCTATTTATAGAGAAAAAAATTTTATGGTCGTTGGTGAATTTTTTTTTTTTAAAAAAAAATAATTACAACGGTTATATTTCAAATACAAAATATAACCGTTGTAAAAAAACAACAAAAGCAGTGGGGGCCACATGTTACTGTTCATCACCAAAAGCCCTCAACTCTTGAGGGTTTTTATTTTCACTCATCGGTGAGTGTTTTTTCACTCACTGATGTAGTATTCGGATTTTTTTTTACACCCTTATTTTTACTCGTGAGGGCTTTTCTCCTCACTACTGGGAGTGCTCTAAGGTTTATTTGGCGGCCAAATACGAGAGCATTGGTGTCAGTGGAAGGTGACATGATGAAGATGGTGGGAATGGTGGTGTAAGTGCCTAAGTGGAAGGTGGGTGAAGCCGTGAAGGAAGCTTCAATGGAGCTAATGGTTGAAGGTGTCAGTGAAGGAAGCTAACGCCGTTAGTGGAGTGAGTGGAGTACCGTCTAACAATCTAAGCTTATTATTCCAGCAATGTAATCAATCGTGTATCAATGTATGCCCATTATGTACTCATCAATGTTCCTTTTATTTACCAATTTGCTATTAGATAACAAAATATGTTAATAAATAAGATCAACATCGCGTTTTCAATGTGGATGGTCACATCGTGTGACCAGTTGATATACGAGTAACCCTTCACTGAGTAACACCCGATTGACTGAGTAATCCTTAATCAATCGAGTAAGTAACTAACCCCTGACTAATCAATTAACTCTTGACCGATAACCTCTAACCAAGTAACCCCTGTCACACGGTTTGACCACCCATTTATGAAACTTTATGACTAAGATTGTGACTATCTTTTCACAAAGAGGATTCATTCATGATTTTTTGTAGATCTTTTGATGACTTTTGCTGATTAGTGATAAATAAATGGATTATTGTGCTCACAAAAAAAAAAAAAAAAATGTTAGGATGGAGATTCGAATCATAAATGGAGAACTTCAATCCTTACCATTGAGAGTTTGAGACACATACCTTTCTATTTCAATTATTATCAAATAGGGCCTATTTTTTAGGGCCCTGTTCCGTTGCCCAACTAGCACCCTTTCTCCGCCGCGAGTATATATCTATATCTATACTATATATTAAAAGACGTTCCTTCTAAAGGAACAAAATAAGTATATATCTATATTTATACTACATATTAAAAGGCGTTCCTTCTAAAGGAACAAAATAGAATATGCTTTCAACAAGATTCGAACCTATAACCTCCAATATATATTGGTAATGCTTTTACCATCTCAACCAACTATTATTAATGTTTCAAGTTTCACAAATATTATAATATTCCTTTCATTTATTAAGTAAATTAGAGGTAATATAATTCATTTATTTTTCACAAGATTAAAATATAAATGCATATGATGTAAAAAAAAAAAAAAGGTGACATCCAAGGCAATGCCCGAACCACTACACACACTAACTACACAAATAGTCCAACATAATTGTTAAATTAAAGCAAGAAGTGCACTAATTAGCAACCCGGGGCATCGCCCGGGATACATACTAGTTAATCTATTAAAAGCCGTTCCTGAGAGCATAACACAACCATCAAACCATCTAAGCCAATTATCAACTTTGTTAGTAATATGTAAAAAAATTTGTATAAGTGCAAATCACGGGGTTCAATTAAGTAAAAACATAATTACAATTTTTAAAAGTCTTTACAAAAATTTATCAATTGCACGTCTACAACAATAGCAACCTGTGACAACGCCCGGGCTATTTACTAGTTAGTATATAAAACCCCATAGATTACTTTCTTTGGTCGACACGTGTGAGAAGCTTGTTTTAAATTAAACTAGTTTGTAAATACGAGGGTAAATGTGTTAAAATTTTACGGCAACTGTGGCTTATTATGCAATAATCTATCAACTTTAAGGTGAGTTTTCCTTTTTCAATCCCTACGGGCCATTAACTTTTTTTTTGGTACGAGGTCATTAACTTACTATAATAAGTAAGTAAAATACGTGTTAACAGGTGATTGATAAAAAAAAACTCGCCACTAGCGATGGCAATCCTCCTTGTCACCCCACTCTTCCCAGGCCTAACATCTATTTGTGACCCCATCATCATCCTTAACCCCACCTCAAAACTGCCCATTATACCATTCCCCAACCTAGCCCCTTGAACGAACTCCCTCCATTCCCTACCCTAGAAATTGGCTTCCCTTCCCTTTCCTACCTTATAAATCGACCCCCCATTCCCTTACCCCACCTTTGAAACCAATCCCCCCACCCTTCCACGCATTGAAATGACTATAATTTCAGTGGGCTAGGTTAGTGTGGGGTTAGGATTATGGGGTGGAGGGAAGGGAGGGGGTCAGAAATTGATGGGCGCTGAGAAGGTTTGGTGGAGTGGTTTGAGCTGGGCTTGGGGAGGGGTGGCCATTAGCGGCGGTCTTGGTTCTCAGCTTGAGGATTTTATTTGTTTTTTTTTTTTTTAATTTTTTTCCTTTTGAACAAATAAACATGTGACATGTGGTAATTATATATTTACAAAAATTTATATCCCTTTTATTAGAATAGCGGTTTTCTAAACTGAAGTTCAAAAAAACAATTAGGATAGTCAATAAACGGAAAATAAATGTTTTAAAAAAAACGGATAAAATATCCCAAAAATTAATTAAAATAAACAATAATTAGAATCCTGCCATGAATTCTGTCTCCTCTCAAACGCGTTGATTTCAAATTTCTCCCTACGGTTGTTCCTATTTTCTCCAGGTTTTTGCGAGCTATTTCTCTTCTATCGAAGAAGCTTTTAAACTTTCTCCTCTATTGAATCGGCTTATCAGACATTATTTTCTTAAATTATCGAATATCAAATTCATAATCCAGGGTCGATTGTTCATTCGTTATTTTGTTTCAATTATTTCATTTGTTATTGCTATTATTATGCGCTTCTGTTAATTGCTTCATTTTTTGTGCAAGTTTGGTTAAGATAGATATAAATCTTTGGTTAATTATGAATTCGGAATGTTAAGTTTACAAATGCAATTATGCAAATAAAGCTTATTTGAGTGTTGTTTGATCCTATAATAATGGGAATTGTTAAAAAAAAAAGAGCTTCTTACAAAAAAAAAAAAAGTCACTGCCATGGTATTCTATTAGTTCTTCAAATCTTTTGTTTTATTCCTTTTGTTGCCATTTCTAAATTTTTCATTTTTTTTTACAGGTTACACCAAGAACGATTTATGAACAACTAACTTTCTTTACATGTAGTATTCAATTTTGTTTTTATTAATTTTTCTTCAATTCCTCAACTACCCACAAATTGTTAATTTTAAATACTTTTAACATAACTTGGAGAGAGAATACAAGAGTTTAAAAATGTTTTTTTTATAGACATTCATCTCATTCTCAACCTAAATCTATAAGGTTCTCTAACCTCCTCTATGTACTTACAAGGAAAATGAAGAGACTAGATACATTCTACTATGTATACAAGAACAACCTTGAGTATTCTAAAGACACATATCCCCTCTAGAATATTTTACATATGAACCTCTTGTATATTTCGTGAACCTTGCTTCTAGAACCGTATTTTTGGACATTCTCCTCTTGGAAACCCATACCACCATGGAATTCTTCAGCCTAAAATTCAATAGATCTAATAATTTGGGCCCAGTTAGTTTATTTGCTTCTCCAAATGGCCAATTAATATATCATACTTAATTAATCATAACTGTATTCTCTATTTTTTAAACAACCGTATTGTACTTGTTTTGTATTCGTATCTGATCCCGTACCCCGTTCTAGCACAATCTATGAAAACGGGGAAGGAATATGGAGTAATAAGCTTTAGTGGATAAAGCT